CTAGCAGAGATATCGACCCAGTGGCAGTTATTACATTAGCAGTATACATTTTGCTGCAACATATGCGCATTTTGACAATAAATGTCTCTTCATTGATGCTCGAGGACAAAATATTTGAAAAGCCAAAACATAAATAAGCATACCTCGAAATCTTGTCCTTCGAATTCTCTCTTTTACAACCACAATGTGTTGTTTTAACTGACATTTCCGTTGGATTGATATGACATTTTATGCATAGGTGATCACGGTATTCGCTTATTGGGTTGCATCAACAACTCGGTTCCAAGTTGTAAAGCTTAAGCTAAAGTCATTCCTTTGAAAATTTGGTTGACCGTTATTGTTTATCCGTTTCACAATTGCCGACGACGGAAATGTCCCAATTTTCCAAACCTCAATCGCGTCCTTCTTCATCATTGAACGTGACATCATCAATAAGATGTATCACCGAATGTATAATTGCATGAGCAACACGAGTGGTGCACATGTTAAGCACTTGAGATCACCCCCGGATTCTAGTGGAGTCTGTGTTGTTCGGTCTTGGTATCTTTCGGCTCTTCAATATTAAAAAGTAAGGGCTCTAAAGAGCATGTGTCGCTAACCTTCATCCAAGTCTATGTGCATCTTCAACAGTGGACACCCTCCAACATTGCAGACTAGAATATAATCTTTGTTTTGTTGATTTTGAATCTTCTTACAGCCAAAAACACAAAAAACAAAATCATGATTGAAGGGCAATAGCTCCTATGAGATGAAAACTGACAATTTCATACATGCTGACCTATTTGCAGATCGTGTTTTGCTGATCCAGTTTGCTTTTTTTAAAGATTTATATCTTTCAATTGTATTTTTCAGGATAATACGCAAAACTGAAAAAAAAACGAGAATATAATATTGTCATTCAAGGGCCCTTATTCCTATAAAGAAATGAACAACGACTTCAGCAATATCGACACATTTATTGATCTAGCAAGTTTTGCTGGTTAAAATTTCTCTTTATCTATCATATTTTCAATTTATTGGGAAATAACAAAAAACCAATAGTAAAAATCGTCATTCAGGGCAATTACCTCTTTCAGGAGACAATTTCGGCCACGTCAACTTATTTGTAGATTTTGTTTCACTGATCATTTTGCTTTTTAAAGTTCCTGTCCGTATATGATAGTTTTTAAGATATCAGGCAAAAAACCAACAAAATTGTTAAAATAGACATTTAAAGGCAATAACTTCAAACAGCATAATGTTTTAATGTATACTAAATAGACTGGAGTCAGATCTCAAAATTTTGAACATGTTGTGCCCCTGTTCGAATTTTTCTACATTGTATCCTTAGAGGTTTCCAAGATAATAGGCATTTTACCATATGTTCTATGTTTAGCCATATCATCCTCAACATGCATGAAATAATTGCTACTGGACGTTAAGCAACCAACATCCAATCAACCATGTTGGTTTGCTAAGAAGGTGGGGTCACCGGACACATTTCTAAACTAGATCCCCAAATGATAATTGTGACCAAGTTTAGTTAAATATTTCCCTATAGTTTCAGAGCAGAAGATTTTTCAAAAAGTCAAAGTACGACATTTATAAATTCGTTTGTCACTTGCCTCATCATAATAGACGTGGCTACGTATTTACATATCCTTAAGTTTGGTAAAAGTAGATATTGGAATACAATACATCGTTTACCTGCTGGGCACGGCTGCGAAATGTTGATACCCGAACAGCCAGAGCTCCTTAGAAATAGGTGTACGGAAACAGAGCAATATAATCACGATAAACATGAAGAGCGAATAGATGTGTAAATGTTAGACCGCAGACAGACAAAGGTGTGCACTCGAGTCCAATCTTAATTGACCAGGATTGTCAGTTTTCCTATCGGAGGTCGGTGGTTTTCTCCGGGCACTCCGGCTTCCTCCACCAATAAAAACTGGCCGCCACGAAATAGCCCAAAAGTGGCGCTTAAAGTGGCGTTAAAACACCAACAATCAATCAATAAATCACTCCTGCATATGATAATGACACCCTAATCGTGTAATTGCTTAATCAAATAAAGTTACTTGTAGATAGTATAAGTAGTAACTGATATATTCCTGTTTTATTACAGTCGTACGTTTACAAACAAAACAACATTACACACACCCTTACAATTGAAATAGATGGCAAATGTTAATGAATCATATATATATATATATATATATATATATAAAAAAAACAAAAAAAAAAAAACAAAAACGTGTTTTTTTTTTTATATTTTATTTTTATTTTTATTTTACATTTGTTCATACTGGTTAATTTTTTTCAAGTAGTTTGGGATATAAGAGGGTCTGGATGGGGTTTACAGAATAAAAAATAATGGACAAACAGTGCAGATTTAAGAACAATAAAAATACAGAATAGAGAAAATTAGACCAAAACAATAAAGAAAAGAGAATAATTGGTTGTCAAAATATAAAGAATAGAGAATAATGAGCAAACTGATAAAGGATAGAGAATAATGAGCAAACTGATAAAGGATAGAGAAAAATGGTCTTAAATGTTAAGGAATAAAGAAATGTAGGACCCCCATCCAGATATAAAGGTGATATTTTAATTATATTGATCAAATATTGTACTAAACATGCTAAACGCAATTTAGACTATCATAAGTAAATGTATGTGATGTTACAATATTAAATAGTCATTAGTAGCAAACACTTTGCAAATGTAACTTTTAAATTTCAACATACAAATTTGATATTGGGGAAATAAGAGTACTGACTTCTTTCTAACAGTAATTTTTTTTTAGGCGAACGAATGGTAACAACTCTCATAACGGATTTTCCATGAACTACAATTAGTATGCATAGAAATATTTGTTCAATATCGCAATATAATTTTGTTTTTTAAAAGAGATAATTTAAATAAAGGAAGCCTGATGACCTAAGTAATACCACGATATACTTTAGGCGATTGTACTAGATGAATACAATTTCTTTTCCATTCATTGAACTTAAATAAAAGAACACGATTATATCGTCGCATACAAGAGTCTGGATGGAGGGGGTCCTTCAATTCTGTATTCTTTAATTTGTTTAGCCATTTTCTGTATTCTTTATATGTTTTGCCCATTATTCTCTATTCTTTATATTTGAGCACCCAACTATTTTCAATTCTTCATTTTTTTTGCCCTGTCTATTTCTTATCTTCTTTGCATTTATTCTGCACATTTTGCCCATTTTTCACTTTTCTGTAAACCCCATCCAGACCCTCATACAACGGGATGCAAACTTTTCAAGAGACGACCAACGTCTCCCTGTCTTCTTTTTAAACGACGACCAACGCTTCCCTGTCTTCTTTTGAAGCGCTTCGTTTATATAAAAAGGTCAGATGCAATTAATTCGGGATAGTTATTTGTCGTGCGAGGAACGATCTTGTGGGGACAGCAACTTATCGACACAAAAGAACGAAATATATCTAGGGGTCAAAATATGATGGTTTTCATGGATAGTTAGATGTCTAATAAATATGCAAAGTTACCTACCGCCCGGAGTCTTAAAAACTTAAACGTTTTTTTTTAGATGGAATCATGATACTTACATCAAACCAATCATAGTAGTCGAAGGTTTAACTACATTATTTCTGACTTTTTTTTTCATTTTTTCAAACAAACAAAAAACGCCATCAGACTATTGCTAACTTCAAATTTTCTATGCACTGTGAACTATTATTTATATACTATCCTAACTAGACAGTAGACACAGGTGTAAGATGATCATACCATAATTGTACATATGTACCAACATGTAGTTCAAGCTATCACTTTCATTAGAGAGTGTCTGTACAATGTGAGGATAACTGTACTGTAGTTAATCGCCTTTGCTCTAAACAATTGTTCCCAATGTGTAATGCCCACTGGTCAAATATAACAAATCTCGATTTTTTGACGTATTTGTTTTCCCTAGAAAGACATTTTACGAATGTTGTAAAGCACCTATACGAAATGTCCCCTTTGATTATTAATTATCATTTTCATTTTTATACCTAAAGGGTCATGGGGGAATAGAAATAAGGTCACTTTGTTCTTCTTCCGATCGGTAGTAAAACCTTTGCAAAGTAGGACGTCCAGTTGGTTTTGTGGGATGTATAAATACGAAACCACGTCCGGTCAGAATTGGGACGTTAAATCCGATGCCTCGTGTAGCAAGAGTTGCACGCTCTTTCACGATGATAAACCGTTTTACAATTCTATCCAATTCTATCCTCATTTTCCTGTGTAAATTTTCCTCCCTTCATTCCGGTCGACCCCTATTACCACAGGACCTACCTATTTTATTTATTGTTAATTTGTTCTCGTCCTGAACATGCATGACATATTTGCCACTGGACATTAAACAAACAACACTCATCGACGTCGACCATGGCGATGATTATGATGTAAATGTGAAATAACATTAAACGTTTGGTAGGAAACTGAACGTTAAATCCGATGCCTCGTGTAAGCTCATCGTTTATGTCGTAGGTTGCTCGTCACAAGGCACAGTGCTTGTCCCAAACCAACATATCTCATTTTTCAGTAGCAGTTTAAATTTGCCTCATTCAAGTCGGCTAACCTTGCAAAACTAATCTGTCTGAATATGCATGAAATAGTTGCCACTAGACGTTACGCAAGCAATCACTAATCCATCATTATAATCATGTTTAATTAAATAACATTTTGCTAAAGAACTCTTTAGATAATTCTTAATTTCATAGAGTAATCAAGAGTAAACGAAAAATATTAAATATTAATATAAACACACTTATTTGTATGTCACGTTTCACTTCGTCAACATGAATTACTAGGTTGCTGTCGCATTGCCGTATAATATATTCCTTTTTTTTAAATTCATAAATAATATCGCATGCATGTGTATGTAATATTCTACACTTATTTGTGTTTGCAGTGTAGTTTTGTAGGACAATTGTAAACAACCAACACATATTGACAATATTCTCACATATATGTCATTTAAAACAAAAAGTTATCTAAATTTAGCACAACTTGACGTGATCGTTATGCACTAAGAAAAGTATTTAGAACTATAAACTGGTTAAATGTTTACAGTGTGTACCTGGAATAGGTTACTGTTACATGTATACCTACGAAAGACTTTATTGACAAAAAGTATGTCATGAAAATCTATATAAGGTAAGACAATCATTTACTGATTACATTTTTGTAACTTGATAACAGTTAATGAGAAAATATAACCGAAGGAATAAGTATTTGTAATCATATTTATACATATCACTAAAATATTGTTTATGATCTGTATAAATATGATTACAAATATTGAGATACTTCACCGAAACAAAAACAAAAACCCGGAAATACAAAGCAAAACAACAGGCAAAAACACCTTAATGTTAAATACATGTATATACATCAAATGTTACCTTATAAATTATAAATCAAATGTTATACATGCTTTATGCGACACCCGGCGAATAATCATCAATTAGTGAAGGATTGATAGATCCTGAAAGAAGAAGTCACAAGTGAGACACGTTGATCATCTACATTGTATTCTATATACAACAGATTATCCTATTTGAAGGAAATCCAAGGTTTAACGGTATAGCAATGTGGTCAGCATTCTGGTCGAACCCTACCGTAAAGAACATATATATTGCATTATTGCATTATTGGTTTACAGGTTTAATGGGGAAAATGTGCAAAATAAAGGGCTAACCAATTGAGAATAGAGAAAAATAGGCCAAAAAATAAAGAATAGAGAATAATGGGGTGCTAAAATATAAAAAATAGAGAATAGCAGGCAAAATTCATAAAGAATAGAGAAAAATGGCCTGGAAATGAAAGAATACAGGAACGACGGATAAAAGAAAAGCCTCATTTTTAAAAAGGATTAATATTGATATTTGTATGAGGGTCTCGATGGAGTTTACAGAATAGAGAATAAAGTAAAAAAAAAAAATAATGAATAGAGAAAAATTAGCCAAAAAATAATGACTAAAGAATAATGGGGTGCAAAAGAATAAAGAATAACTGTGGAACATAAATGAATTGGGTGATCTGTTACTGATTACCGAAATAAACGATGTACGGAATAAAGAAATCATATAATTACAAAAAAAAATGTAATGGCACAATTTTGGTTTTGAAAATTTTACAGAATAAGCATAATTTTGAAAGATGAGAAAAATGCCCCCAAAAATAAAAGAATACAGAAATTGATGATGACCTATCTAGACCCTCTTGTATGTCAATGAGGACTCGTGCCCCGGATATACTGAGCAGAACAGTAACTTACACTAGTTCGTGGAAATAACAATTGTGCCATCAACTACTGCATGTAGCACTAATTTCAGATGAACAATACAAGAGTGTAAACATTTGGTTTACAAAATAGAGATTAATGGACAAATAAATAAAGAATAGAGACACAAAAGTAAAACATACAAAAAATAGAATACGAATGGTTGAAAACTAAAGATTTATAGCTTGATTGTGTAATGTTTGGTTTTCATCTGGTGGCAAACTGTGCATGCACTTTTAAGGCGATAACAAATAAACAATTATAAATACCATAGGTAGGTTATGCAATAAGAGGTCTGCTGGGATATTGGACTGGACATTTTGAATGTTATTAGTAAATATTGGTATACTGGTTAGGGACAGATATTTAGCATTGTAAAAGGTTACCTACGGACCACTCAAACAGTTGTTTCAAACTATCTAAACGTAAAGAAAATGACACTATATCTACACTAGACATTGCATAAAACGTTCCCATTCTTACCGGAAATGGTATCGAATGCACACATCCCCGTATCTATAAACTATCAGACCCGCATGGGAACAGTACACGTGAAATTGCAACTTCGTCTCTGAGCATTTTCACTAGGGATAACGAGAATCATATACTTTTACTCAAACTCTTGCCCATGCTTTGTTTTATTGATGATTTTTAGATTTGTGTAATAAGTTCAATTATTTTACCTAATTTTAGGTAAGAAACTTTATTCTTCAATAGTTACAGAGCTTTCATTAGTCGCTGCGTAAACTTAAATCGATTATGTACAAGAACATACTGTTATACGTTAAACAAATTGTAAAAGAGCGATACACAATGAATCATGACGGTTACTATACATGTAATACATGATATTTTACCCATTTAAATTTGTAATGTAGTAATTCCATCATTTAGTCGTTTTAATTGTCGGTGTACACATGTATATACTATTTTTTAACGTCACTTTCCGGAATAAATATCCGGTGATTAAAGCTAATTGACTAAAACATTCGTTCATGTAATATAAAAATAAAGAGAAGTGTTATGATTGCTAATGAGACAACTATCCACCAAAGTTCAAATAAAGTGGATGTAAGCAATTATAGGCAACTTTACGGCCTCAAACAATGAGAAAACCCCATACCGTATAGTCGGATATAAACTAACGGCCTAATTTATAACAACACAATTTCATGTGTTCACATGTATTGCTACATGTACATATATCTGATATTATTTTTTGTTTTGTGTTTATTCGTTTTTAGTTTGACCTATTAAAGACATTCGTTGAGAAGTATCGTAATGCAGCCAGCACAAGATCAACAATACAGCTTAAAGCATGCTGAGTATGTATAACGTGTATATAAGGTCTAAGTGTTTATTTTTAAAGGTTAAAAGGAAAATGGAAACCAAAAAAAAAAATAGAAACGGTTGACACTCTATCTTTAACGTATATTAAGCTTGTTCGTACGGAGTCCTGTTGGGGACCAATACAGGGAAAAACAATATATATTTTTCCGTATCTGTACATTTTTAACAATTAAGCAAGCTGTAAGATATACATTGAACATCTAACAATATGGGGTTTTTTTGCGGACCTGTTTCGGGTATTTCATTATAACCCGTTATTTTCATAGCAGATTTGAATATTTAATATAATGTGTCGCAATCTATGGTTTGATTTAAACAATATTGTATTCAATACAAAAATAAATTATAAATAAGATAATACATTAAAAACAAACAGGATCAACAAACCAGCACGCTGTTTTTTTTCAATTTGAGTATATTCAAACGAGTAAGCTCTGAAATTGGATTAAAGTAAGAATGATAAATGCAAAAAAAGTTTGATAATATTGTAGTTTGAGAAAAAAAGGGAGAAAAAAAACAAAAGAGAACGAAATAAACTAGATGAAATGCAAAGAAAGCATATAACTGAAGCTTTCGTGTTATGGTGTAAATACGCTAGTACTTGGTACTGGCATGACAATAAGGATTTCGTGTTTTTGGACTTTGATGTTATAACGTTTTGGAATTCAGTGTTTGCGGTTATAACATTTTGGAATTCAGTTTTTGCTGTTATAACATTTTGGAAATCATTTTGTATTAAGGAAAGAATATCTCTGATTCCTTGTCCGCATTTGGTTACATGTATACTGCTTACCTTTTCGAGTTTAGTCTTCAGCGTTTGTATTAAAGTTTTGAATTTTCAAATAGTTTGGCCTCACTGGAGAAACAATACTTTTCGAAAGGTGCAACTGCTGTTGGAAATTAAGTGCCACTAATATTATAAGATGAATAGAACCGTGTTTATTGTTAACGACTTTACGTATACGTTTATGTCTATGTGTCTGTTCTACTCAATGTGTTGTTTACCGTACGTATACGTTGACGTTTAGATGTCGTGTTTACTCTATGTGTTGTTGACCGTACGTATACCTTGACTTTTAAATGTCATGTTTACTCTATGAGCTGTTGACCGTACGTATACGTTGACTTTTAGTTTGTGTTTCCACTCTATGTGTTGTTGACCGTACGTATACGTTGACTTTTATATGTTTTTTTCCACTCTATGTGTTGTTGGCCGTACGCATACGTTGACTTTTATATGTCGTTTTTACTCTATGTGTTGTTGACCGTTCGTATACGCTGACATCTAGATGTCAATTCTACTCTTTGTGTTGTTGATCGTACGTATACGTTGACTTTTAAATGTCTTAACCACTCTATGTGTTGTTGAACGTACGTATACGTTGACTTTTAGATGTCTTTTCCACTCTATGTGTTGTTGACCGTACGTATAACTTGACTGTTAGATGTCTTTTCCACTCTATGCGTTGTTGACCGTACGTATACGTTGAATGTTAGATGTCGTTTTTACTCTATGTTTTGTAGATCGTACGTATACGCTGACATTTAGATGTCCGTTCTACTCTATGTGTTGTTGACCGTACGTATACGTTGACTTTTAGATATCTTTTCCACCCTATGTGTTGTTGACCGTACGTATACGTTGAGTTTTATATGTCTTTTCCTCCATATGCGTGTTTTACCGTACGTATACGTTGAGTTTTATATGTCTTTTCCACCCTATGCGTTTTTTACCGTACGTATACGTTGAGTTTTAGATGTCTGTTTCAATCTATGTGTTGTTGACTGTACGTATACGTTGAATTTTAGACGTCTTGTCCACTGTATTTGTTGTTGACCGTACGTATACGTTGCGTTTTAGATGTCTGTTCCAATCCATGTGTTGTTGACCCTACGTATACCTTGAATTTTAAATATCTTTCCCACCCTATGTGTTGTTGGCTGTACGTATATGTTGACTTTTAGACGTCTGGTCCACTGTATTTTTTGTTGACCGTACGTATACGTTGACTTGTAGACGTCCTTTCCACTGTATTAGTTGTTGACCGTACGTATATGTATGCGTTGAATTTTAGATGTCTTTTTCACTCTTTGTGTTGTTGACGGTACGTATACGTTGTAATTTAGGGAACTTTTCCATTCTATATGTTGTTGACCGTTCGAATACGTTGACTTCTATGTGTGTTTCTACTTTGTGTGTTGTTGAACTGTGATGTCATTTAGGAATATCCCACATCTCCTTTTATTTAAACGAGTGCACATGAGGAAAAATTAACACACATGCACACTTCGTAAGGCAGGTCATTTAACTTGTTATTTCCAAACGTATAAAAATAGGTGTTTCTCCCTGGTCTGGCTCACAGTATTGTTTGAGTTAAAACTAGTAAATAAGAAACTATTACAAAACAAATTAAGTCAATGAATTAAGGATACACACAGTGAAATCCTTTCGAATTTCTGTGTTGAAAGTTTTCACATATAAGTGAACAACGGGTACATGTTTGGATTGATGTTTAACGTCCAGTAGCAAATGTTACAGGACATACCAATACGAGAATATACAATGTATATGTGGTATTCAAAAGTTCAAGTACGAATTAGAATACATTTGCTGCATGCCTTTATTAAACAAATAACATTGTGTATGAAAACTCTGTAAAATACACAAATGAAAAACAAAAGCCTGGAATTTGAGAAAACTATCAATTTTCGGAATAAACTGAATTTTTCAGTGGTGACTGCCCTGTTACTACATTTTTATACTACATATGATTGTTAAATATTTAAAAAATTGCTGAACATCACCAAGTCAAATATAAAAGATTTAAATTAGACTGTAAATGCAATAAAATACACTAGATCATGCTATTGGATTGTATTTCCTGATAATTAATATGTCACTAAACAACGTCATGCTTCTCATTTTATTGAAAGAAGTATGTTCTATTATACACATGAACATTATAGATTATCCGAATCACTTACTGGATATCGTAGTATTTTAAATCATATTAAAACATAATGTTTTACCTTGATCAGTTGTATCTTATATAATATATATTATAGTGACAACATAACAGAGACAAGATCAGGGAAGAAGACTATTGAAGTTTCGGAATCTACTTTTTTGTCTCCAGATTACGACGAGAATTGCTCGACAAGAGGATTGGCAGTTCTCGTACAGAATTTTGATCCAGAATGCCCTCACATAGAGAAGTTAAACAGTCAGTGTAACGAACTAATGGAACTTCTTCAAAGTTATGAATATGGTTTGGAAATTTTCGGAAATCGAATTCATGAAAATTTGACAAAAGATGATTTATACACCTTGTGTTCTAGCGGTGAGTACCTATCGGAATTAAGACCATACATGATTGGTTGATTTTTGCATTGTTATCGTCCAGTGGTTATCATATCATGCATATTCAGAACATTTACAATTGATAGAATAGGCAAGAGCTGAATGCTACATGTAGACTGAATTGACCGAAGGGCGGGAAAATGAGGGTACTATTTTAGATATTCAACAGAGACTTGATTTTTTCATGCATTCGACCTTTCTACTATACAAATACAAGTTGACATATACTTATTAAGAAGGGATATAGTTACGATACTGTTGTCAGGTCATTATAAAGATTGCATATTTTGGCTTTAATATTGATTCACTTATAGGGTCTTTGCATGCATCGGAATTAAACATATTTATTCTAAAACCAGTTGTTGGCATGACACGGGTTGTGTTCTTCTCATATATTTTATGACGGTATAATACTAAACCCCTAACAGGAGGGATTGTGCCTGATATTCATATGATGAAGACATAATCTTTCAATCAGTTTAATTGAGGTCTGGAGCTGGCATGTCAGTAACTGCTAGCTAGTAGTCTGTTGTTATTTATGTATTATTGTCATTTTGTTTATTTTCATTTGTTTCCTATTCTGACATCGGACTCGGACTTCTCTTAAAATGAGTTTTACTGTGCGTACTGTTGTACGTTTGTTTTTTCTACATTGGCTAGGTATAGGGGGAGGGTTGAGATCTCAAAAAACATGTTTAACCCCGCCGCATTTTTGCGCATGTCCCAAGTCAGGAGCCTCTGGCCTTTGTTAGTCTTGTATCATTTTTAATTTTAGTTTCTTGTGTACAATTTGGAGTTTAGTATGACGTCCATTATCACTGAACTAGTATACATATTTGTTTAGGGGCCAGCTGAAGGACGCCTCCGGATGCGGGAGTTTCTCGCTGCATTGAAGACCCATTGGTGGCCTTCGGCTGTTGTCTGCTCTATGGTCGGGTTGTTGTCTCTTAGGCACATTCCCCATTTCCATTCTCGAATTTATATAACATGAAGCGATACACGTAAAGTAAACGTTTATAGTCGCCTGGTATTCCGCTTCTGTTGTGAGCGAGCGGTTATATTCAAATTACTGTTTGCATCACAATTCAATTTGGGCTCCTCATCGCGGTCCGTGTTTAAGTCATGTTGAGTTCATTATGAAACAAATCCGACGGTTGGGAAGTAACATAACTATACGTTGAAGCGTAAATGTTAAAATGCAGGATAAAAACAATATTAATGCATTGTAGGTCAGTGTAAAATGTATTTGTACTCGCTCTTCTCTGTTTCTAAAGCCAATACAAATGAATTTTATATTTTCCTACAATGTACACATTTTTATTATATATGAGGGGTTGGAAAGGGGGATACCCTTCTCCCACCTCTTGCTCCCTATCTCCCATCTCCCACTTTTAGAATCTTTTTTTCTCTACCACCTATTTGTTGTCTCCCACCTCCCGCCCCCACCTCCCACCTCCCTCAAAAGCTGTCCACCCCCTCATCTATAACTGCTACTATTATTCGTTTAAACTTTTATACATGACCAAAAAAAGCATTAAGATAAGTACACCTTGTGTTCAACTATAGACCAAGATTATATATTAGTACTGTAGTAAATGTTGTGTTTTTGTTATTTTACCAATGAAAGAGGTGCGTGTCTTAAAGGCTGAGCATTGTATTCACTCGAAAAATGAGACGAATATAAGTAAAAAATGTTGCATAGAGATTCAATTTAAAAACTAGAAGATGTGGTATGATTGCCAAAGAGAAAAGTCTCAACCAGGGACCAACTTAAACAAAAGGTAATAGCTTTAGGTCACCATACGACCATCAACATTGAGCAAAACCCATACCGCATAGCAGCTATAAAATGACCAATGTAAAACAATTCTAACGAGAAAACTAACTGCCTGATAAATGTACAAAAGAATGAACAAAAACAAATATGGTATACAGCAACAAACGAGAACCACCGAATTACAGGCTCGTGACCTAGGACAGGCACTTTCATAATGTGTCGGGGTTTAATACGTTTTGAAGGCGTCAATAAACCCACAACCGGTACAGTGGTGTGTAGTTGAAGGAAAATATTCCCAATTAAAAACAAACAACATTAAATACGTGAAATAAAATAACATAGCTGTAACAGTACACTTTGTACATTTTTCAGTTGCTAAGGATATTGACAACAATGAGAACAACTATTATTACTGTCTGTTGTTTGTTATCCTTGGTCATGGCTCATCGGGAATTATTAGGTGCAAGACAGATACAGGAAACACAGATTATGCTGAACTATCAAAGATAATGGAGTTCTTTCAGCCTCAGAACTGTGCGGCATTGGCATTGAAACCAAAGGTCTTCATAGTGCAGGTGTAGTGTTGAATAACTAGAACTTTTCGTATGTCTTTTATTCCATCATAAAATTAACCTTGAAAAGAAGGTAACTGATTTCGACCCTTAAATCAAATTTTCGTTTTATTTTTCTGCCAAAAGATATGAAACAATCACCTTACATAGTAAGATATAATGACAAACATTATATAAATTAATGTATATAAAGCACGAAAGTTAATGTTTTCCGATTACTACATTTATCTACAGGGTACTTCTTCTTTTGTTCAGGAAACAATTACATAATATGGTAGATGTAAATAAGCCGTTTGTTTCAAATGGCTATCTGGTAGTGAGACATCTCTGAAATTATAACTACTAAGTTCAAAGTTTATTGTGTTTTTTAATTTGTCCGTAAGTTCCATTAGGGTCTGGATGGAGGGCCCTTCATTGCAGTATTCTTTAATTTTTTAGGCCATTATTCTCTGTTCTTTACATTTTTTGCCCATTATTCTCTATTCTTTACATTTTTTGCCCATTATTCTCTATTCTTTATGTTGAAGCACATCATTATTCTCTATTTTTTTATTCTGTTGGTCCATTTTACTCTATTCTTCATATTTTCCCCATTATTCTATTTTCTGTAAACGCTCATCTACAACCTCTTCCATGACCTTAATGATCTGTGATCTTTCGGCCAAATTGTATAATAAGCTTTCAAAAATCGTGCAACTTTTTCTCATTTTCCGATTGATTGATTGGTTTGCTATATGCTATACCAAGTATTTCATGAATATTAAGGACACGAATACATATAAACAACCCACAGTACGTTGGCTTTGTTAGACTTCGATATAAAGGGAAATAATAGCATATTAGATAGGGACAGACATTTAACCTTGCAACATGTCACATACGAACCCCTCAATGACAAAAGCTTTCATTTGTTGCTCGAGAAAGAGCATGTCACTCCATCAAACCAGCCTTCAGATTCAACGTACCATTCTGATTTGACGTGACTGCATATTTATACAATCAAAACCACCAAACGGAAGCTTTTTTAGCAAGGCTCTACTATCGGAAGGGGAGAATTCCAAGTGACGATATTCCTATGCAACAGTGGACCCTATGGTGTTCATTCTTAAGAGTGTCAAATCATCCAAAATTATCTTGAGATAGACAAGAACATAAATGAATACATACAAATAGATACCATCAAGTGATTAAAGACAAACTCGTTAATATGATCATTTCGCGGAAGGATAAATTCACATATTTTTGTGACGGAATATGCAAAAATATAATCAAACTCATAAGTCAAAAAACGAAATTACAATTTCATCACAATAAAAAAAACGAATAACGATGAAAAAATATACAAAAGTCTGCTAAAATCAACATATCAAAATAAAGACTGAGAATCACGAACATCACAGAAAGTCAGGCTGATCTCATCAGGTGCTCTGGAAGGGTAAGCAGATCCTTCACCATATGTAGCACCGTTCGTGTTGGTCATGAAAGTACAAAGCCGTTGATAAGTCTAATTTTGTAGATTACATTCGAGGAGAAGATAGAGTGTGTCAATGTGTAAATGTTAGTTTGATTGTAATTGACAAACACAAAATACTTGAATTTGAGTTTGAATTCATTAAATTAGCTTAACGTATGAATACATATATTTGTTATGCGCTGCTTACGATAGAGCATACTGTTTTCCGTCTGTGCATCCGTCTGTCTTTCTGTCTATCCAATCGTCCCATGTAGTATGTATGTATGTACTGTATCACAATATTTTTTTGGTGTTTAATAGGTTACTGCTTTGGTTTACAGTTAGTTTGTGGTCACATCTACATGAAACGTAGTTCACACAATTTCATTGAATTCAGTTTCCATTCAAGGAAACTATAAATCACTCTACATAGATTTGTTGATATGCTGTCTGTGTTGCATTAATTTGTTCCACATTTTTTAACAATTTTACAGACAATGGAACCCAAAGATCCAAATCAAGCAGATGCTCTCGGGATGCACGATGACGTTAAAGAGAGAAAGCAGCAGAGAATACCACGGGAAAGTGATTTCCTTACTTATACTTCTGACGAACCATGTGAGTCCCGTTCCAAATAATTGCAAAAATATAAGTGGAATATTCATATTTTTGATACAGTATGCTAGTTCATTTATTAAAAACAGTTTTATACTTCATATGCGGTAAAGTATATATTAATTGCGATAATAAAGTCAATGACTTATTACTCAATCTAAAGGTTTTGCGATACCTGCATATTCAGAACAAGAACAAACTAACAATTAACACAACAGGTAGACTCTGCTAGGTATCTCGACTGTGATGGAGTGCCTGAAACGAAGGTATGTTTGATAGGGGTTAATGTGGTGCCTTGGACTCCGTAGAGAGTTCTCGCAAGAGTCTTTTTTTATTAACGTGAAAGCTAGTTGTTCTCTCCTCACTCGAAGAATCGAATTTCACGATAGACGTGGCCATGAATTTATTCATTCTGCACAGCTATATGGACTCTTAACTTTATCAAGGTCTTCACTACAAGAACGGCAAGTCCAGGGATGAACCTTGGGTACTGGTCTTTTAGAAAAAAAATGCATTCTGAGATAAAAATTATCTTGAAGCATATGTTTATCATTCTTGCTAATAAGAAAAACATCTTTTTTCTTACTTGGATTTAAAACAAAAACAAAGATTGCCATTCTTGTTAATAAGAAAAACTTCTTTTTTCCCACTTTGATTAAAAAAAAACCAACAAAGATTACCATAAACATTCATGAAGAAGTAAAATGATCTCCTGCCTGTTGGCGAAGGTTCTCAGGTGGTAAGTTTTGTCGGACCTAATGCATTAAGTTTGATAATTTAATATCTAGGTTCCGAAAGTGAAATCAAAGCGTACGAACGAAACATGTGTTTGCCTTTGAAATGTTATGTGTTTAAGTACATCAAACAACACATAATAAATCTAAAATTCACAGTGGTTTACTTTAGATATCTTACTTCATGCTTTTTTATTAATTTTGTGTTTCTTGCAGGTTATTTATCGGACAATAAGTTCCTGAATTCAATAGTGAAAACATTAGATGACGAACAAAAAACTTGGTACCAAAAAAGCCGCTCTGTGAATCCGATACCAGTTACTGAAATTCAGAGTCTTCTGATCAAGATCAATAGAAATCTTAAGGAGACAAATTCAAAAGTGCCATATACAACATCATCATTGACTAGGAAAATGTATCTACAAAAGAGAACGTTTCAGGTGTGACCATGAAGGGACTGCTATTCTGTCCATTGTATCGACTTTACGATTCCTGAATACACCTTTAGTGGAACAAGTTAATTGCAATGCTATATTCGAATGAAATTAATTATTTATATATTTTTTTTAAAAACGATATGGGGTCGACTTTTTGTTTACTTCGTCCCTTAAGGTACCACGATACCGAATGGCATAACTCCCGATTTCAAAAATTTTTGGCACACTTGTACTTTGATACGAGTTACATCGGAATATGAAGTAAAAAATGGGGGTCACCATTCTTGTTTTTTGGTAATTTTGATAAGTAAATGTCAATTTTGGCACCAAATTTACATAGATATATAGGAAAAATGTCTTTTTTTCGACTTACTTCTCTCGATTTTTCAATGGATGGCTATTTTCTCATATACGGAGAAAGACTAAAACTAACATAATATCCAAGATTGTATACCAAATCCATACATGTATAAAAAACATATGTCACCATCCTTGTTTTTTTAGATAAATCGCTTCAAAGATGACCGATACGCTTAGAAATTGACAAAAATATGTGACGTTACGGAATACAGAATAACGTTATTTTTATTCAGAGGAATTGAAAAAAAAAATATGTAACGGGATCTGAATGGTGTTTGTTATTTTATTTTCATTCCCTCTGTCGGAAATTTGCTAATAATTCAATATAACATTCGACTGAGTTAATTTTATTTCGTCCTAACTGGGTGCACTTTTAGCTTTCAAAACTGAATCTTCAACTTAACCCTACTAAACTAGACAATGCTGATTACACCGTTGTATCCATGCATGATTAAAATAAAGTGCTTCAAAAATTTGATTTGGTAAACAATGATGTTCAAGTACAATTTGAATTGATTGATTGATGGTTGCTTAACGTCCAGAGGCAAATATTTCATGGATTTTCAGGACGATACAATACAATTTGAAAAGTTATGTCTAAAAGACACATTGGATGCAGCCGTCAAAAAAGGTTACATGTTCTGTTTGTTGTGAAAATTATAAACAAATCAACATCCTGGGAAAATACGTATTCTATAAATATAGTTTACTCTGTATGATGTAAACGTGTGGGTTGTCTGCGTAGTTTGTCGGACAAACCTTGCAAACTGTATGCAAAATTGCACTTGAATCTACAAAGTTCAACATTCTGTCATTCGTGGAAAATTATTAAAAAAAGTGATCCTGAAAATATACATGCACCCTCAATATAGGTAAAATATCATCAAAATGCCAAATTCAGCAAACTGTCATTAAAAATTAAAATCTGACAAGATGCGCGTATTGTATATGTACTAACACCAAGTACATAATTTAAAAGTTAAAGCTTCAAAAACTGTAATCCTAAAAAATCAGCTGTATAAACGCTATATACCAAGTAAGGGACGGACTGTCGAAGGACATGGTAAAACAATATGCTCCCGGCATTTTGTCAAGGGAGCAAAATATATATTAGCATATATGATGATGTTCTATTTTATAAATCATTTGGTGACAACATATCTTTTTGAATAAGCAGTTCTTAGTGGAATGGTAATATGGAGATCTCAAATGTAGCAACGTAAGCAAGCTAACGTCTATGTCATTTGGTCTTTGATGGAAAGTTGCTAATTGGCAATCATACCACATCTCCTTATTTCATAAGAGATTGAGTTTTCTCCTGAAATACAAGAATTTTAAAGACTAACAAATATGTACTAGGAGACTGAAATATGTTGCTGTTATAGTTAAAATCTGTCTTTTGTTGTGAACATGTGATGTTATAATTTGATAGATTTAATACTTGCCATACTAAATATACTTATTAACTTTCCAATACAAGGGACCAACGAATCTTTACTTAAACTACAAATTAGCAGTAAACAAATACTCGTCCATCCTGCATTAGTCACATGTTATATAGATGTCTTTGGTTTTGTGTGTCGTTAATTGGCCATTTGCTGTTTTATTGTATATCCCACATATCCATCATGTATGGTATTACACTAGTAATTTTTTGGGTCCCTTTATAGCTTGCTGTTCGGTGTGAGCCAATGCTCCGTGTTGAAGGCCGTACCTTGACCTATAATGGTTTACTTTTATAAATTGTATCTTGGATGGAGAGTTGTCTCATTGGCACTCATACCACATCTTCCTATATCTATACACAAAGAAAAAACAACCCTTTTAATATACATAAACACTTGTATACTTGTTGTAAAATCTCCTTTTGAGACTGCGAAGTATCTCGGGCTTTTCCCGACGACTATGTGAGCAATATGCCCATCCCCCAAAAGGCATCTTTGCTAATCATCAGCTGTACCTGTACATCATGTCCAACTCAAAACACCAAAAACACACCCCTCCCCGATGAAAAAGTGCAAATTAATATGAAACTAAAATAAAATTAGCTAAAAAATAAGCTTTCGAAACCAACTCGGATTTCTTCTGTACAGTCCAATAAATTTCAAAGATTGTTTATACTTAAAACATAGGGAAAGTTGTTCGGCCAAATAGCCAATTTCAGTTACTCTTCTTTTTTCATTCCATGCCAATAAACCAGTTTCTGTCTGAGTTTGTACGTCTACTTGCATAGTGCTTTTTTCGCTAAATTCTATCGGTATTCTTTTCCAAACAAATTTCCTTTTTCTATTTTGCTAGCGACGTTTTTCGGTGACCATTTAAAAACAAATGGGCTTCTTAGCGGAATTGCATTAATTGTGGTACAATTCCCCGTATTTTCATACATTATCATGCGTTTCTATAATTTGGATTTCTACTTTCAAAACAAAATTTCATCGGGAAACGGCGTGCATCCTTAATAAGAATGTATTACAAAAAAAAAAAATAAAACCCAACCCAGAATAAAAAGCTCAGTCTGTAATGCAAAAGAACATGTATAGATAAATCGAAAAAATGCTTACTTATCAATAGAAACAGAATATTTAAAAAGTATATATTTAAATGTGAAGGATGAGAAGAAGAATTGGCGGAAAACGACGAAGCAATCAATGTCAAATAACGTATTGCATCAAATCCCTAGACACTCGTAATCTATGCAAAGTTACCATTAAAAATGGTAATAAAATAAAAGGTTAATTTACTATTTATATTTCACCTAAGTGTGATTTTTTTCTCATTTTTGTTCTTTTATTTGAATCGTAATTATGCAAAGTTTTTTGTTTTGTGTTTGAATATGATACGTATAGAAAGCGACGCTAAAATGAAGGTATTTTTAATATATAATCATATAAATTTGCAAATTTGAAATAAAGAAACATTTATCTTTCAATTATTTTATACTAGACTGAGGCAAATTCTTTGTTTTATTCGTTCTAAGTTATTATAAAATAAAGGCAACAGTAGTATAGCGCTATTCGAAAATCATAAGGGAACTACCATTTGATTTTTATTGGGGAGGGGGGGGGGGGGGGGGGGGGGCTACAATGAAATTTGAAAAAAATAGGCAGGACAGGAGTTTTGAGTAAAAAAAAAAGGCAGGATGAGACACTTGCAAAAAAAAAAAGTCAGGACGACAATTTAGGTAAAAAAAAGTCAGGATAAACTAAAAAAAAAAGGCAGGACTAATTAGAGTGAAAAATAAAAAGTCAGGACAGAGATTACAGCTAAAAAAAAAAATGCAGGACAAAATTTTTCATCCTAGCCCCCATAATATAACAATGGCCATTTTCCTGACTTGGTACAGGACATTTTAAGAAAAAATGGTGGATTTAACCTGGTTTTGTGGCTAGCCAAACCTCCCGCTTTTATGGCAATGTTAAATATAACATTAAAATGACAAGACTACATGACAGGACTACAATACAAAAAAATTGGAGAACATACAGGACAGAGACCCACACAAATAATAGCTATCAAAAGGTACCAGGCTTATAATTTAATACGCCAGACGCGCGTTTCGTTAACATAAGACCTATCAGTGACGCTCAGATCAAAAAAGTTCGAAAGCCAAAACAAGTACAAAGTTGAACAGCATTGAGGACCAAAAGTTCCAAAAAGTTGTGCCAAATACGACTAAGGTTATATGCCTGGGATAAGAAAATCCTTAGTATTTAGAATAATTCATACTTTAGAAAACAGTAAATTTATAAAATGACTATATAATAGATATACATGTTAACACCGAAGTGGTGACTAACTACAGAATAAAAACGAATACGTAAAACAACCTAAATCAGCACATAAAAAGGCACAGCCGAACAACGTATTATATGTTAGCCGAGGAGATCCACGCACAATGTGACGTCACAAATAAATTTCTATAAATTTCCGAAAAATAGGATAGAGTTCAAGATAAGGTTTGTAATACTGATATACCATGTATTAATAACAATGAAAATTACAATACTTATTAATGTACAATTGTGGTAGTAATTAGATAATTAATTGTATTATCAAGCTATGTCGGTATATCTTCTAAATCAAACTGTAAACCAAATACATCGTATAAATTTAGTTGACCCAAACTAAAATCTTATAAATGAACTGGGTGATTAATTATCTTTACCGTAACACACGAATAGAACAGAAAAAATAAGATTTACAACTACAAACGATAAAAACGTCAGGTTTAACGTTTGCCGTCAATTTCAAAGATGTCAACAGCTGGGACGATAACTCGTGGCATAACGTCATTCGGTATCGTGTAACCTTAAAGGACTATGATATTATGGTTAGATTGACATTTCCCTCGAATGTGCCAAGAACGTCATATTAGGATTCATATATTGCCAAAGACATGTATGATTTTAAAGGTAGCCAAGCCAGCCACCTCTGCTTGAATATTTTTTTACATAGACAAGGAACTAGAAATGGCATAATCAACGTCATAATTGATTAGGGATTTTTTGTATGGCCATTGGTTGATATTGTTCATAATGTTTTTTGGGGATTTATGCAACGAGGGACACTTTTCAATCATGTACAGGTATTATCCGTTTTATTGTAAAGCAAACTTGAAGAAAAAAAAACGTGTAAAATATGTGCATCTCATTGCTAATGTCACTAATTTGAAGCTTTATTTAGACTTGTATAATATGATATAGTATTGCATAGTACTATTTCCCACCGAAGGTAGTGAAAAGTTCGCATTCAATATTCTATCGTATTGCATAAGTGCAAATATATCCTCAAATAATCTTTATCAGAGACAAAAAAATGTTTTTAAAATCTTTTGAAGCTTTGCTATTCGAATGAAAGAAGGCATACATACAGTACATACAGACTTTAGTTTCCATATAATGTTTCATAATCATATTGGCTGACTGAATCATAATGCTAATACTTAATGTCTCAAGCGTGAAATTGTCAATAGAGATTGTTAAAGGTTACAAGAAGTCCCGTCTTATACATGTTATATCATGTTGTATTGGAACATTATAAAATAAAGATTCCGCTAAGTTTACTGTTGGCATTACTTATTACTGTTACCGTAAACTCATTTAATAGTTAGTTTCTTGTATTTGTAAAACAGTCACAACAGAGGACATGTATTCACACAATAAAATAGAGAAAACCCCGCACCCGGAGGCGGACTTAAGCTGGCCCCTAAACAAAAATGTGCACTAGTTCAGTGAAAATTGACGTCATACTAAACTCCAAAACATATACATGTATGAACTAAAATTAAAAAAACATACAAGACTAACAAAAGCCAGAGGCTCCCGATTTGCGACAGGCGCAACAATGTGTCTCCCGCCATGCAGTAAAACACATGTTAGCAGTATGATTCTATTGTGTTGTGAATTACATACAAACTGAGCCATGCCCATTCTATATTAAATATGGTGCCTCATTTATGGGAATCAAACGATCTTTGTATGCTACCGAACCTTTGCAACAACTTTTTAGAGGATCCGTGGGCGGCCTATGGCAAGGGAAAAGTCTGGTAAGTCTAAATTGCTGGCCAAAAAAAAAAGAAAGTCATCCCAGAAGACTATTTTTAAAGTACCAATCTTTTATATTAATTCTTCATTTTTATGTGATCGTCCAGATATATATGCATGGCATATTTGCCATTGAACGTTGTAAAGCAAAGAAATTTATTCATAAAATACGTAAATGCAGTTTTTACATCAGTGTCAAACCCTTTTAAGGACTCCGGGAATTGATCGATTCCGTTCCGAAAAGACTTTCCCTGCATTAACAAAAATCCGAGTGAATAGATTAGGTTATAAATAATGAGATGGAAATTCTATGTAACGTTTTGTAAAGAGTAATGAAAAAAACCAATAACAAAACAAACACATTTACAAAGAATATAGATCGAGGAAACAGAAAACCTTGTAACATCGATCGGTTCCGTTCCGAAAACGCTTTCAGTCACTTCATCTATTATATATCCGTGTGCATGGATAACTTTAAATTTAGAATTACATGCAGGAGAATTTGAAAAAAAAATACAACTAGGTCTGGTAAGAACTGAAAATAGATAAATTTGCTCGGGACAGGGCGAAAATGTATATTCTCCAAACAAATTTATTAAATCAAATGTGTACAAAAGTGAAAATAAATTTTCGCGCTAAACAAATTTAACATGCGTATACATGTACGTACAAAAAATGTAGCAACATATGAAGATACATTAATAATCCGAAGACAAACCCATTGATCCAAGTACAATGATGTTGTAAAAATGGAGAAATGGTTGACACATGTATGTACATGTACGTGTATAGGTAAAAAAAGCAAGTGGGGTTTACGTAAAAAAAAAACAACAACAAAAAACAGCAAACATACGACAAAAACAAACACATATTTAGAGAGCAACATATAGTTTGTTGAAATTGATTTAGATTCCCATTTACTGTCGAATAATACATAACCTCCATTTCATTGTAGGCGCGATTCATTTGTATTGTAGATATGCTGTGCATATTTACAGTTGGAAGTTTATTCTTTCCATCAGCCGACTGAATAAAAAATAAAAAGTCCGAAGGACCGGGTCCGTGTATATTTGCGTCCATTCGTTTTTCATTTTGAAATATCAAAAACAAACAACAAAAAACGACAATGTTTTCCTTTCTTGTTTCACAGTCATTGATAGTAAATAATTCCAATGTAAACACCCCGGTGTTCTTTCAACATAATGTAGACAAAATAGACCGCCTGACTTATGAATTGAACTACGGTGATAAATGAATCAAAGCCTTTCAAATTACCTTGTTTATATCTTTAATAAAAAATAAATTATTATATTTATATATTAAACGAATCATAAATTTAAATTGTACAATATTATATTATATAAAGATGGTACAAATAAATAGATTGATTACAACATCATATTTACAAGGGAGGTTACTACTTTTTAAAACTTATAAGAAAACTACCCCGGTCGTTAAAGTATACATGCACAGTACGTCACTGTGGTTATCAGATCTTTCATCGAAGATAATGTCGACGGATGCAAAAGACTTTATCAATCTGAACAATAAGGGTGCGTGATCTTTACTTTTAAATTTAGAAAGGTTGATCTCAGATGATTAGAATTCATGGCCAAGGTCCATTATACGAACATTCAGGACGATAATGTGTTTTGCTTGATCAATATATTGAAAAACAGGTTTCCGCAATTTCACAATTCAAACCGGGATTAGCATTCAATCATTTTGCCATTCGGAGCCTACTCGGTATTAGTTTTGCTTATTTTTGAAAGCTATATGTTGACCTTAACTAGAACCTGGGTGTGGATGGGGGTTTACGGAATAGAGAATAGTGGGCAAAAAATATGAATAATAGAGACAAAGGACCAAGAAATAAAAAACATATAGAATAATGAGGTGTTAAAATATAAAAAGAACAGAATAATTGGCAAAAAGTTTATATAAAGAAATAAAGAATAGAAAAAAATGGCCTGAAACACTGATTGAAGAATAGAGAAAATCGGCATAGAATATCAAAGAATACAGAAATGAAGAACCCCGTATCCAGACCATCATCCTAGTTGCCTAAACTAACGTTATTTTGTCTCCGGTAGATTGTTATTGGTTATCATACGTTTTCTGTTTATTTCTATGCTTATCAATAAAGACGTGAGCTTTCATAATTTGCCAGCTTATTACATTATAAAAAAAAGACTAAGCCGAACATCACTCTGGATTTTTTCTCAAGTAGACCTCAGCTACCCACCCTACCACACCATTACCGAAAAGTTAATAAAAAAAATCTACGGCAATACTTTTGTCCGCACTAGGTGTAAAGGGAAGTTGGGTAGCTGAGGTCTACTGGAGAAAAAAATCCAGGGTGTTATTCGTCTTAGTTTTTTTTTTTTAAGTAGGTCCAAAGTTGGAGTCCGCGGACACCCAACCCCACCCTTACCGAAAATTTAATAAAAAAACAAATTCTAAGGCAATACTTTTGTCCGCACAAGGTGCAAAGGGAAGCTTGGTAGCTGGGGTCTACAGCAGAAACAAACCAGGGTATTGTTCGGCTTAGTTTTTTTTCTAAAGTAGGTCCAAAGTTGAGGTCAGATACCCTACCAAACCCTTACCGAAAAGTTAACAAACAAAAATTCTATGGCAATACTTTTTTCCGCACTAGGTGCAAACGTAAGCTAGAACCCTAGCGCATACTTGATCAAAATTTCCAGTTTGGGTATAGCACGGATTATTTTTTAAAGCTAATAAATAATTTCCTTGCCCACCATACTTTGGGTACAAACAATAAACCTTTCGTCCAATCATTAGTAAGCGAAATCCACTGTTTCAGAAGTAGAATGTTTTGTCATAACAGTTGTGTGTGGCAAAAAAAAAAAAGTTAAAGCACGAGTGCAACTTTTTTTTCTTCTAATGCAGAACAATTGTTACTTTTCATGAACTATTTGACAGGATGCCGAGAATATGGAAAGCTATTTCACACAATAGTGCAATTTTGCCACCATTTAAATAATTTCATAATTATTTACGATTTTATATACACTCAAAAGTGTTGACTATTTGAAATGTAAAGCGTGCAGCACGCTGTGTGATGTATTGAAAGCGATTTCTTTTGTATCTATATAATTAATGAACAAGAAATGAAATTTTGAAATTCATTGAATAGTGTCTTTGACTGCTTAATTATATACTAAAAACTGACAATATAGTGGTTATATATTAATAAAAACATTTGAAGTACGTTTGAATCTTATGCAACATTTGGGTCTATATAAACATCTGAAAACTGGCTGCTAGCGAAGTGGCTGCTAGCGAGTGGCTGCTTGCTTGAACCTGGTCTCACAAACTCCGCATTTTCATTCACGTCTTCACATTACAGGTTTCAATAAACGTTTAGTAAATTATGTCAATGTGAAGAAAATGACCCGTATTATGCCAACAACTGGTTTTAGAATTAATTAGTTTATTTCCGATGCAAAGACCTTATAAGTGAATCAATATTGATACAAAAATATGTCATCTTTAATGATTCCTCATGGGGATTTTGATTATGTGATTACTTGGCCGTTTTTTTTTAGTGATTATTTGATTACTAGACCAAATATTTCATGATTATTTGATTATCTAGGACTGTATTTTAGATTAATTGATTACCAAGTTTAAACAATAAATTTGTGTGTATAGCATACATATAAAATTTGGCTTGAAAGACGTTATTTTTTTTCGCCTCGCTCCGCTCGGTAAAATTGTTAAGAATTAAGTCCGAATATTGAACGCGTTTGTCCAGTAATCTTATTAAAATTCATACAAAAAAGTCATATAAGTATAACAAAATCAGAGATAACTATCTTTTATCTAGATTGGTTCGTCTAATTTAGTATTTTTATCTGAAGTAAATTTACTAACTTCTTTAATAAAGTATTTGAACAAGAATGTTTCCATTGTACATGAATGCCCCACTCGCACTATCATTTTCTATGTCCAGTGGACCGTAAATTGCAGTCAGAACTCTAATTTGGCAATAAAATTAGAAAGATCAATTCATATGGAACATGTGTACTGGGTTTCAAGTTGATTGGACTTCAACTTCATCAAAAACTACTTTGACCAAAAACATTAGCCTGAAGCCGAACAGACGGATGAACGGAAGAACAAACGGACGCACAGACCGAAAAACATAATGCCTATAAATGGGACATACATTCACAAAATGTGCTGAAA